AGCGGCTGGTAGTTTCGAACCACTGACCTTAAGGTTCGCAGCCTGATTCGTAACCACTATGCTACCAGAGCTAGCTATAAGCAATTCCCTTTAAAATCATCTGCATGCTTTTCTCATTACAGAAATTGGCTGTCAAACCTTTAAGAAACATTGATGAATAAGAGGAGTCCTGGAGTGGCGCTGTAGGATAAACCATTGCACCACAAGCCAGTTTGAACCACAAGGTTGGTGGTTCAAACTCACCAGCTGTTCCTCAGAAATCCTATACAGGGTCGCTCTGGGTCAGAACCAACTTGAAGGCACTTAGCAACAACATGAGTAAATAGGAATTGAAAATCCCACCCTTTCCAGACACAGGGAGTTTAAGTAACTTGCTTCTTGTTGGTAAATGCTGTTTAGTCGGTCCTAACCCATAGTAACCCTGTAAAAGGTTTGAAGCATTGACAGGTAGGTTTAAACTTCCAACCTTGTGGTAGGTAACTCAGTGCTTATGCTACAGCGCTACACCAGCACTCCCTGTAACTTGCTTAGGAACATTCAATCCTTATGAATGGAGAAGTAAGGCCAGAAAGTCTGGTTTTAGGGCTCAGGCTTGTAACTGCTGCCTTCCACTGTTGTCTGTGTACTGATCCAAACCCAAACCAGTAGAACTCCTCAGGAGTCAATTCCTACTCATAGCAAACCTGTGTAGGGTTTCCAAGGCTGCAAATCTTTAGTAGAGCAGAAAGCTTCATCCTTCCCCACGTGGGTTTGAACCACTGATCTTGTAGTTAGCAGTCCAGTGCTTTTTGTACAGTTCCACCTGAGTTCCTTATTCATACCCATTGTTGTTGTTGTTAAGTGCCATCAAGTCGGTTCCGACCCATAGCAACCCTGAACAGGGTTTCCAAGGCTGTAAATCTTTACGGGAGCAGAAAGCCTCATCTTTCTCCCACGAAGCAGCTGGTAGTTTCGAACTGCTGACCTTGCGGTTCGCAGCCCGATTCATAACCACTATGCTACCAGAGCTCCTTAATCATACCTATACCTGTACATAAATTATGGTGGCTTTTAAAATGGATGAGAAGAGTTGGCATTTGCAAAGCAAATCTACTTTTATATAAAGATGCAATGCATTAAATCTATGTTGAAAACATCTCATATTTGATCTTTTCATTTCTTCATATTTTTTGTTATTGATGGCAATAGTGGTGAAAACCATCAACTTTGAGATTGAGAGGTAAGGTAAACCTGGGTTTGGGTCTTGGTTATGTTACTGCATATATTCTCTGAAACAGGCTGTAGAACATCTTATAACTTTTCTCTCTTCATCTATAAAATGTGATCATTTAAAGCCTTATCAGCATTTTGTCAAGTTTAGAGACTAGGTGAAAGTGAAGTGCCTGGCACTGATTCATGGTAGGTACTTTTATTGTTTGATTCTGATTAAGATGCTTAGCTGCTAATCAGGAGACTGGATGTTTGAGTCCACTCAGGTCTGGCGATCTGTTTCCAAAAGGTCAGAGCTTTACAAGCCCTCTGGAGAACAAATCTACTTTGCACGTGGCGTCACCATGATTTGGAATCCACTGAGCTGGACGGCCACTGGTTTCACTGGGATTTTTGTTGTGAATCATCTAACGGATGATTCCCCATGGCTTGTTCAAACATCAAACGCACTAACTTGTTCTCCTCCACAGTTATTTGTGGCTTTTTCCCAGTCCTTCATTTTAATTCTCATGATACTTTAACTTTTATCTTATTATTAGATATCTTTAGTAACTTGCCTTACAGTCATTTTCTTAGAAATCCAATCTCTTCTCCACAGGGTCTCCTTTGAGATTAAAGAGAAAGACGTGGCAAATTGAAAAGCAGATCGTTATTTTCATTAATATCTCATTAATGTTTTCTATTTTCCTTTATCAGGGTGTTACTTTTCTGTCAATTCGTATTGCCAAACGGAACTCTTTTATTTTCTTGAAAGATGAAAGGCAGCAGCCATGAATGAGTCACTAGACGATTTAGCAAATGCTTCTGATTTCCCCGATTATGTAGCTGCTTCTGGAAATTGCACTGATGAAAAAATCCCATTCAAGATGCGCTACCTCCCTGTCATTTACAGCATCATCTTCCTGGTGGGGTTTCCAGGGAATGCAGTGGCAATTTCCACCTATATTTTCAAAATGAGGCCTTGGAAAAGCAGCACCGTCATTATGATGAACCTGGCCTGTACGGACCTGCTGTATCTCACCAGCCTTCCCTTCCTGATTCACTACTACGCCACTGGCGAAAACTGGATCTTTGGGGATTTCATGTGCAAGTTTATCCGCTTTAGCTTCCATTTCAACTTGTACAGCAGCATCTTCTTCCTCACGTGTTTCAGCATCTTCCGATACTTCGTGATTATCCACCCCATGAATTGCTTTTCCATTCACAGAACTAGGTGGGCAGTGGTTGCTTGTTCTGTCGTGTGGGTCATTTCGCTGGTGGCTGTCATTCCCATGACCTTTCTGATCACATCAACCACAAGGACCAATCGATCCGCCTGTCTGGACCTCACTAGTTCTGATGACCTCACAGCCATCAAATGGTACAATCTCATTTTAACTGCCACTGCTTTCTGCCTCCCTTTGGTGATTGTGACACTTTGCTATACAATGATTATCTACACCCTAACCCAAGGACCACAGACTCATAGCTACCTTAAGCAGAAAGCCCGGAGACTAACCATTCTGCTACTCCTTGTGTTTTATGTCTGTTTTTTACCCTTTCATACCTTGAGGATGATCCGGATTGAATCTCGTCTACTTCCTATCAGCTGCTCCACTGAGAATCAGATCCATGAAGCCTACATCGTTTCTAGGCCATTAGCTGCCTTGAATACATTTGGAAACCTGTTACTGTATGTGGTGGTCGGAGACAACTTTCAACAAGCCATCTGTTCAGTAGTGAGATTCAGAACAAGTGGGGACCTTGAGCAAGCAATGAAAATCAGTTACTCAAATAACCCTTGAAATCGCCCATTGATTCAACCAAAACTAGCCTATAACTTCTGTGAGATCCAGAATACCTTCTTCAGTTGGACTCCCAGTAAATGCTGTGTTGTCAGGTCATAGTGTAACAAAGTCAGAACTCAAGGATTTCTTTTCGGTCCATGTCTTGAAATCTTCCCTTGGGTAGAGTTAAGGATGGGATGCATGCATATTGCAAACCATTCATAAGTAGACTTACCAATGATTGGAACTTGGAGGCATCTCAGAGATCATCTAGTTCACAAGGCTGTTATATCTGAATGGAAAGTAAAGTTCACACATGTGCCCTAGATCTCCCAGTAAGCCAGTACAAAGGTGAGAAAAAGCCAGTCTTTAACTCCTAGTTTCATGCTCTCCAGTTTCTTGTTCTTGTTGTTAACATGCTGTCAAGTCGGTTCCAACTCATAGGGACCCAGTATAGGGTTTCTGAGGAATGACTGGTGAGGTTGAGCCACTAAGCTTGCAGTCCTACACATAGCCTACAGCACCACACATGACGTCCCTTTTATATTGAGCTCCTAGACTATTCAAGGCATGCTTTGTGTCAGTATTCAGTTTTGTATTCCATATTTTAAAACTAGTTTTTCAAACTGTACCATGAGATTATAAAGCTTTATTTACTAGGCTTTAGCTCATTTTGTAGATTAAAGCAAGTCAGTAAGATGTACTTGAAACAATTCAAGGATGCCTAGGCAAATAGCTAAAATCAAAGCCTGCATGGTATTTGGGGCATTTTGTCTTTGTTGTTGTAGGCCTTTTAGAAAGTAGTTATTGAGTTTATAAAATTTATCAACTTTTATTAGCAATTGTCAACACATCCTGGAGAAGGCAGGAACCCTTTTTGGATACAGAAGCATTTTTAAATATCATGTATATATTGGGTGTTAAATCACATCTAACATTGTTTTGATTTCTGTGGGAAAATATTCCAGGAAACATTAATTGGTTCTCTCTTTAGATATCTTTATGACTACAATGAAAACATTTTATCTATTGTAACTTTTACAGCTATTTTTGAATTATGTGTGTGCTTAATTGTCACTAAGTGTGAACATTTCAGAAATATCTAGTCTGGATATTTAAAACCCTAGAAAATGTGTTGATGCAATTAATAAACTAGTTAAAAATTACCAAATAGGTTGGTTACACTTCTCTACAAAAAAGGCTTTTTTTTACTGCTCTTATCTTCCCATCAAGTTCCCGTGTGTAGAGAACAAGTATGATTTGAAGAATTGGTAATGGACGATGACTGAGATAGATGTTTTATAACAATGCTTCTAGACTTTCCAGGTTCTTCTCAGGCATTCCAGCTGACTTAGACCTAGGTGATGATGTCATTCCTCAGAACCCCCTGCTAGGTCTGATGGGAAGAAAAGGAAGCCAGTGGATGAATTTGCATGTGAGCCTTTATGGATGATGGTACTCTTTCCATCTACCACGTTTTCAGGCAACTTTTCCTGGGAAAAGTTGTGGCACTTTAGGATAAGCACTGGTTCAAACCAGATAGATGGCACTTAACAATAACCAGGACTTTTGGGGTGGTTCTGTAAGATCAGCTGTTGTTGTTAGGTGCCATCAAGTTAGTACCGACTCATACTGACCCTATGCACAACAGAATGAAACACTGCCTGGTTCTGTGACAACTTCACAATTGTTGTGAACCCTGAGCTCATTGCTGCTGCTACTGCACCAATCCATCTCATTGGGGGTCTTCCTCATTTTCTCAGACCCTCCACTTTACCAAACATGATATCTGTCTCCAGGGACTGATCCCTCATGAAAATAAATCCAAAGTATGAGAGACAAAAGTCTGCTCATCCTGACTTCCAAGGAGCGTTCTGGCGGTACTTCATCCAACACAGATCGTTTTCTTCTTTTGGCAGTCCATGGTACTTCTAATATTCTCTTGCAACACCATAATTCAAATGCATCAATTCTTCTATGGTCTTCTTTATTCACTTCCAACTTTCAAATGCTTATGAGGTTATTAAAAGTACCATGGCTTGGGTTAGGAGCACTTTAATGCTCAAACTGACATTTTTGCTCTTAAATACTTTAAAGGGGTCTTGTGCAGCAGATTTGCCTAATGCAACATGCCGTTTTGTTTCTTGACTGCTGCTTCCATGAGTGTTGATGGTTAATCTGAGCAAAATGAAGTCTTGGACAACTTCAATCTCTTCTCCATTTATATGGATGTTGTTTATTGGTCCAGTGGTGAGGATTTTGTTTTCTTCACATTGAGTTGAATGCTATACCACAGGCTGCGGTCTTTGATCTTCATCAATAAGTAGGTTAAGCCCTCTTTGCTTTCATCAAGCAAGTTTGTATCCTCAAAATATCGCAGATTGTCAATGAGCCGTCCTCCACTGATGCCATGTTCTTCATATAGTCTAGCTTCTCAGATTATTTGCTCAGCATACAGATTGAATAAGTATGGTGAAATAATACAACCCTGGCACACACCTTTCCTAATTTTAAACTATTCAGTGTTCTCTTGTTCTGTTTGAACAACTACCTCTTGGTCTATGTACAGGTTCCTCATAAGCACAATTCAGTGTTCTGGAATACTCATTCTCCACAATGTTGTCCATAGCTTGTCATGATCCACACAATTGAACACCTTTGCATAGTCAGGAAAACACAAGTAAACAGCTTTCTGGTATTTACTGTTTTCAGCAAAAGTCCATCTAACATCAGCAATGATATCTCTTGTTCCCCCCTCTTCTGAATCTGACTTAAACCTCTGGAAGTCCTCTGTCAGTGTATGGTTGCAGCCATTTTTGTATTATCTTTAGCAAAATTTTACTTGCAATAGGATCAGCACTGGACTGCCGACCAAAAGTTCTGTGGTTCAAACCCACCAGCTGCTCCTCGGAAGCCCTACACAGGTTGCTATGACTGGGAACCAACTCATCAGCACTAACAACAACAACAACAACAACAACAACAACATGCTGTATAGAGGCTTCTGTCTGAATGATGTTATGTCACTGAGGGACCCCTGCTTGCTCTTACATCATGGATGTACAACATGGCACTGTCGCAGAAACACCACAAGTGGTGACTCTAAGGAACAGAAATGTATTTTCTTTAAATTCTGGAGATTTACAGTCCAAATCAATGCCTTCAGTGTGCTGAGTCCTCCTAGTTTCTGGTGTCTGCTGACAATTGTGACTTCCCTTTGCTTGTAGATGGGTCTTCACATGGTGTTTGACTCACCTGTGTGTCTCTGAATCTATTGTGTTGTTAAGAGCTATCAAATTGGTCCAACTCATAACAGCCCTGTATAGGGGTTCCTAGCCTACAAATCTTTGCAGGAGCAGAAAGCCTCATCTTTCTCTTGCAGAGCGACTGGTGGGCTCAATCTGCCGACCTTGTGGTTCACAGTCCAGTGTTTAACCTGTAGAGCCACTGCATCCCCCTGTGATTTCTACTCTGGTATGGCTGAATCCGTATAACAAAAGAAAAACACTATTTTTCAAAGGGGTTTGTATTTATAACACCATGGAATAGCCATGGAACTTGGGAACTGGGTATTTCTCCAGCTCTTGCCTCCTTTCTCTCCCTGATTTTCCAACCCTGCCCTTGGGTCATCAGTAAACCTGTAATTCATGTGATCCCTGTGTGTTCCCCTATATGTAACGTGTCCTCCGTCAATCCCCTTCCTTTAATTTTAGCTTAAAGCAGGTTTCCAAGACTTAAATCTTTAACAATTTAAATCTTTGACAATTCTGTGCCTAAAAGTAATTTTCATTGCATTTAGAATGCTTAGGACTAACTAAGATTCTTATTTTCTTTATGTTTTGTATTTGAATTCAGCAGACCATTAGTTTTACATTTCACAAAGCATGATGGTGGTAGTGGTGGTGGTTAAATGCCACGGAGTGGAGTCGGTTCTGACTCATAGCAACCCTGTACAGTGTTTCCGAGAATATAAATACTTACAGGACCAGAAAGTCTCATATTTCTCTTGTGGAACAGCTGGTAGTTTCGAACTGCTGACCTTGAGGTTGGCAGCCCAATTTGTAACCACTATACTACCAGAGCTCCTTTAACAAAGCAGACACTTTGCTTAATCTTAATGATTGCAGTCCTCTCAATGTAACATCACTTCCTCCCTTGTGCTTCTTGTTCTGTTCCTCCTTTTCCAACCTTCTGAATTTCGTCCTTAGGTAAATGCTGCCCTTTTGATGGCAAATGGTTGACCATTCTAAAGTGTGCATGTCTCAGTAGTGCTGTGGCCCCTACAGTCCTATCTATTGATTGGCTGAAAACTAGGGTGAGTTCAGTTCCAGACCTCTGGTGACAAAGGGCCAAAGTCTCAGGATTCCACCAGTAAACCTGGTCTTTTTATGATTTTGAGTTTATTCCACATTTTCTCCCACTCTATCCAAGACTTTCTAATGTGATTCCTTTCAGCTTGTAGTGGTAGCTGGTACCAACCAGTTCTTCTGGTCTCAGAATCATGGGGATTGATGTTCACATGACCCATTGGACGGTTGTTGTTGTTGTTGTTAAGTGCCATGGAGTCAGTTCCGATTCATAGCGACCCTGCACAGGGTTTCCGAAGCTGTAAATCTTTAAGGGAGCAGAATCCCTCATCTTTCTCCCGTGGAACCACTGGTAGTTTCGAACTGCCGACCTTGCGGTTCACAGCCTGATTCGTAACCACTACGCTACCAGAGCTCCTACTAGTTGTTTCCAAATGTCTTCAATTCTCAACACTCTTCTTTCTCTGGACAATAGTTGCACCTTCAGCAGCCACTCATGAGCTTTTCAGATCCCAGTTGCTACTCACCAAAGTAGGATGCAGAACATTGTCTTTGTGGACTATGTTATGCCAATTGACCAATGTGTCCCTAGAGACTACGGTCTTGAGCAATGTCATCCAGAGATTGTTATAATCCACACAGTTGGATGCAAAGTAAAAAAAAAAAAAAAAAGCACAAGTAAACACTCGATGGCACTTAACAACAAAAACATTTTACTGGTAGTTTGTG